AATGATTTATTGTGTTTAATTTGCCATATTTATTTTGGCAATCCTCCTTAAGCTTCATCCAAGAGAATGAAGATTAACGAGAAATGTTAATGTCGGATGGATTCCAGAGTGAGAGGGGAAGAAGGAGGTGTGGGAGGGGAGTACGGGAGGGGAGGTGAGAAGTGCGAGTTGCACATTTCAAAATGCGTGGGTGACAAAGAGAAGCGGCGCAGAGTGAAAATGACAGAGCAGCAGACAGAAAGCACAAAGACTGCTGTTAATGCTCAGAAAGGAAGAAGAATCAAAGAAATGATAACTTTTTAATGCTCTTTGATGGACCAGAATTAGAAGAATGGAATCATTTAGATTTCTCACACAACACAGCCTTCATGATCACAGCTTTTGTGATTAATTTTTCACAAGCCTTTTATTCTTTTTACTATTTTCTGTGTAATTTACAAAACCATAAATGTGATAATATTAATCCTGATTAGAATGAATACTAAATGCTGAATTTTACACCGATGCGATTTCCTGTCAACAGTCTCCTCCAGATGCCCTCCTCAGGAGCCCATCGGCTGAGCAGCGTCTCCTCCCATGACTCGGGCTTTGTCTCCCAAGACGCCAACACCCATTCAAAGCCTCCATCACCCATGCCCTCTGATATCACAAGCCAGGTAGCAGTCTCAGCTATGATATTTTCTTTTCCTTTTATCAGGAGGGAAAATGTTTTGGGTTTTTTTGTTGCAGCAAAATCAGGAATAAAACAGACTTGTTATCTCCAGAGATTTCTCTGGCAGTAAAACATCAGGACAGGAGGACACAGCAACAACACCACTTTCTTGTCAATGCAGATCTACAATAATTCTCTCTTTTTAACCACAATCACACTCCGTCTGCTGTATCTGAATTGAAAACCATAGAGTTTTTCCATGTTTTTGTATTTCACACATGAAGCCACCATAAGAGTTTGAGCTCTTTTTTTTTGCAATAGATCTCTATCAGTTGCAAATGTTGAATTTTTATCCCACTGGACTGATAAAGTCATTCAGACTCTCACAGTCTGAACAGATTGCAGTGTAGAGAACACACTCAGCAACACACCAACTGATGCAACGTTCTTTTTCTGAATAAATGATCTTACAGGCTACTTTATTTTCAATCTAGGCTATAGAATATAGATCCCCTCAGAGAGAAAAAAATCCCTCCTTCTAAAGCTCATCAACACTCTTCTCCAGCTCTCACCATCTTCCTATGCATCTCTCACATCTAACTTTTTCTCCCCATTTCCTCTCCATCTCCACTGTTCTTTACTCCATCTTTCCTTTCCCAGAAATCAACAAGCTCAGCCTCCTCTGAGGCTTCAGAAACCTGCCAGTCTGTCAGCGAGTGCAACTCTCCTACAGCGGTTAGTACTGCATGCATCTCTTACCAGCGTACTTGCTTTGCTGGACGCGCACACGCGCACTAGCAGATGTATGCACTTGCACGCTGATGTGCTGTGCATTTCAATCATTTTTATCTATAGCTTAAAGAGGCCCGTGAGCCTTTAACGACAGCCGCTGTAAGGTATAACGTGGACTACTCGCCGATGTTGAGCACTCTTACTCAGACCTGTCTGTCCATTCCGCAGTTTGGCTCATGCTCATCCTTCGGCACCTTCCGCCCTGCTTTCTCACACACTGGCACCATCAGGCCTCTATCTGTTATACTTCCTGCGTCCCCCACATTTAACCACTCCCCTGGATCCAACACTCCCTCACCCACATCAAAGGTTCCTAGCTGGAAGGTTTGTTTTCATTTGCAAATTTTGCTTTGGGTTCTCTCTTTTGAGACTTTGTTGCTTCTTTGCTTCTTGTGTTTTGTTGCCTTCACAGATTTCGCATTCCGTAGAATAACCTCACAATCATTGTTTTGCTGTTGCTCATCAAGCTCAGCTTTCCAATGTTTCCACAAAAAAGATGTGCTAAACTGCACGCCCTGCTGTGCTCTATTCATATCTACCATGCATCTAACCAGTTTATAAGCCAAATCAACAGCTTCCGTGTTTTACTGCACAACTTCCAGTGAAACACTGGAGATGCACTGTTGGAAGACGGTCTCATTATTCAGTCTGCTGTTGCAGGACTGGGCCAAATCGAGTTCCTGCGAACCGTCGTTGGCCAGCACACCACAGCGTAGGAGGGAGTCTGTGGATAAGATGAGAGAACTGGAGGCTCCGCCCAGTCCACAGGGGTATTCTGGAATGCAAGCTGATGAGCCACACAGGGTGAGAAGTGGCCCAGGAACCATTGCAGCCAAGGTAAAAAGGAGTGAAAAATAAATGCCAGTATATCAATTTGTATGCTGTAGGGATTGCAGTGTGATGAAAATGTAAATGTGTCCTAATCTTTATGTATTTCCTGCCTGTCTGTATCTCTGTATATGTGTGTTAAGCACGGTGAGCCCCTCTCTCCAGCAGCCAGTACTCTAGCCATGGTTCTAACCAGGGGCTTGAGCATGGAGCAGCAAAAGAGCAGCAGAGACTCTCTGCAGTACTCCAGTGGCTATAGCACCCAGACCAACACCCCCTCCTGCTCCGAGGACACCATACCCAGTCAAGGTAACAGTCATCCCTGAAGAGCCACACACTCCTGCCTGATTAAACACACATGATATCCACATACAGCACACTATTTATGAATTTAACTGTTGTGTTTCAATCATTGCACGTGTGTGATTTGAATAGTGCAGTACGTGTTGCCTTAAACTCCAGTTTGATTACTGTGAATTGCTATGTAATGAAGCACCTGCTAATTAACCCTCCAAAACAACTGCTCTATGAACTATTGAATATTCAGTGTGGGGGAAAAAATGGATTCTCATGACTTGCTGTGATTTCTAGGTTCTGATTATGAGTGCTACTCTCTTAATGGAGATGCTGACAGTGAAGGGCAGGTGGACTTTGACAAATCCTCCACCATCCCTCGTCATAGTAACATTGCGCAGAGCTACCGCCGCATGATCCAAACTAAGAGACCTGCAAGTACAGCGGGTCTGCCTGCAGGTAAGACTGTTCAGGGAACTCCAAATGGCGCTGGGGGAAGCGGCGCTGGAGCTATTGCTTCAGGGACAGCCACTATACGCCGGACGCCATCCTCCAAGACTGGCGTGAGACGCACGCCGTCTACATCTGGCCCCATTCCCATCCGGCCTCCCATCGTGCCAGTTAAAACCCCAACAGTGCCAAACTCCCCGGGTTACACTAGCCCGTCTCATCACTCTGCAGGCAGTGAGGAGTTTCTGTATGGTGATGACCTATCAGCTAGTGACAATATGAGGGCTCCTCCAAAGCGGATGAGCCTCCCTGACACATCTTGGGGCGGTGGAGGAGGGGCAGACAGGACTGTTTACGAACAGCAGGCCCTCGGCATGGCTGCTCAAAGTGTTGAGGAGGACCCTATGCTCGCTGCCAACCGCCACAGCCTGGTGGAGAAGATAGGAGAGCTGGCAGCCAGCGCCCACGCCCTCGGTGAGGGTCAGTTCCCCTTCCCTAGCTCACTGTCAGGGGATCCCGCTCAGTTTGCGCCTCAGGGGGCGTCCTCTGTCAGTCAGGAGGACATAGATATGCTGGTATCTATACGCCGGGGGGTGAAGCTCCGCAAGACAGTAACAGACGACAGGTCTGGTCCTAGGATCCTTCGGTAGCGAGGGAGGACACATTGAAGCTCTGTATTGAAATACACCGGCGCTCATGTAATACGTGAAATAAGGCACAAGTAATAAAGAGGATATAATGTGGTAAATGAAGGCCAGACAGAGTAATGAGAGATCATGGACAATGTCAAGTCATTTAACGTTATGTATGAAGTGCATACATGCAAAGTAATCCATATTTTTTAGTTTTTATTTTTGTTTTGGTGGCTGTGCTTTCTTCTCCCTGTGTGACAACCAGTCCCTTTCAAACCCAGTCATCGAATGCTCTGTGTCTCGGTTCTTGGTTTATGTTTATTATTATATTGTACATTTCTTAATTAACACATCCCTAGCCCGTGGAGAATGACGGGTGCAGTGCTCTGTGAGCCTGTCTGTATGTCGTGTCATTGTCATTGTTACTGTACTGTGCCCTGTTGCTGTTCTGTTTGACGAGCTGAGCAGCAGCTGTGTAAGTCATGTAAAAATAGAAGCATTATGGCAGTTTTTTTTATTGCTGTATTGTACTGTCAATATATTCTGCAATTAAACTGGCTTTTTACTGTTAAACGACTTGATTGTTTTGTGCCAGAAAAAATATTTTAATATTGTAAAGGACTGCAATTAATCAAAGAACTTAAATTAGCTGCTGTGCACATGCAGCTCGTGTGTAAGTGGTGTCAGCTATTTCCCCAAGCCTTTTGAAGTTTGTTGCTTCATTGCTTTCTCCACTTTTTAACGGGTTTCATTTTATTACAAGTATATCTCCTCAGGATCTTACTTTAGTTTAGATTCTAATCCAGTCAGTAGTTTTTTTAATTTGTACAGTTTATAGTGGTGATATGTAGTTTCTTACCCCTCAGCTCAGTTTGAACTTTTGAAGTGTCTGTCGGGATTTTTCTTACTAATTTTACACTTGCTTCGCTTACAGTCGTTGAGTGCAGGACTGTTGACCACGTTGCAGCACTCTGAAAACACAGATGGGGGCGCCTTAGGCCTTTCACTGTGACTGAGCAAACTGTAGCTTCGAAATGAACAGTAATGGGGGATGTCAGTTGACATTACTGCCTCATTGAAAATGTGCAGAAGGCTGAAAAGATGGATAGTTGGAGGGATATAGAACAAACAAGAAAGAAAAGGACGATTTACGGCATACAAGACGAAAAGCATCCATATTCGTACCTGGGTGCTAGCATACTCATTTGTTTTAATGTTAACGAAAAACAAAAATGTCAAACTGTGCTTTTCAACTACTCACGGGTGGAAAAATGCTCACACTAGCCATTCAGATATACAGTCAACTTTAAGCTAACACACACATATAGAATGTAAAAAACCTGTACATATTCATTGCAGCCAGGGTTTTGTTTTTTAGCCTGCATGTTGTAAAACAGTGCTGAAATTTATGTTCTAACAGCTGCAGAAAGTCTCTCTCATTATTTATTAAATGATAGTTCCTGCTGGAAAACAGCTCCTAAACTGACTTTATAACGTTTCTTCCCCTTGGACAACAGGCATGATGAACCGCAGGGCCTCTGCCTGGGTAAGGGACCTTCTTTTGGAAGGTAATATCGTGTGATGTATGGGTACAATGTCCATTTAGAGCCACTCTTATTAAGACCCCACTTAACGTTGTTACACTGAAGAAAAAATTAAAAAGAAAGAAACAATAGAGCTCGTGATTTAACGCACCGGAGAAAATACAGCTAGTCTTTTCTGTTTTCACAGAGTTCGAGGTGGAAGATTAGAGGGCTGGACCCTCTAGTCCGACCACAGATAATGAGGGGGTGGCAAGCTTTTGGTTTTGGGCTCATTTGTAAATCAAATAGAGGATGCTACAGGAACACCGTGTCTGACGAAGTTATTATCCTCCTCTCCTCGTGAAGCCTGCAGTATTTTCATATTTTCCCCAATGGGTCGCTCATAATCCTCTCAGCTTCATAAATAGCACATTATTGAATGTACACCATCAGTTCATTACCTTGAACTGGTCGAGTAATGGAAACCTGCCTAATGTCGGGGGCCTGCTGGGATAATTAACTGAGAAAAAGAACTGTGGAGCTTCAGTGTTCATCCGAGGTAATGTTCTCACTCTCCAAACTGCATTTCAAAGAGAACATCACCACTGCCTCTTAAAAATTTCACCTCTTAGTCCGGCAGAGTGAGAGGGACTATTGAGCAGCAGTGCTCATTTTCTTTTTTCTTTTATTTTGCAGTCACTATCTCCTGTGTCTTTTCGTGATGTGAGAAATCTTTTAATGTGCTAATAAAAAGTCGTGATTGTTCCGGGCTACAAGGAGATACTGTTCAACTCAGTGATTATTTCTTAGTGCGCTAATCACCGAGAAAGCCCTAGGCCCCACTAATCAGAATGTAGATATAATAAAATGTCTCCACAGACATGATGTGGCCCTGAAGTGGCTCGTTTCCCCCCTCCTTTTTCTACCAAAACAAGCCTTGCATTAATCAATAGATTATTTGGGGCTTTTTCCTTCAAAGTGGCTGCTGTTGTACTCATTTTATTAAACTTATTCAGTCATCCTGTGAATGAGCGTCAGCTTTTAGGGGGTATACTGTTCTGAGTTAAAAGGCTCAGAATAGACAGTCGGTAATGAGATGGTTTGGTTTGGTTGTTTTTTTAGTATGATTTTTTTATTTGTCATTTTCAAAACTTCCAGTACTATTATTGGCGAAGATACCATCTGAACTTGATCACTCACGTTTCTCCATAATTAATATCTGTGTTAATAAACAGTTATGGTTTCTATGGCAGAGCTTAAATCCTACACTAATAAGCCACAAGGGGATCACAGATCATATCTAATTAGCTGTACCTAACACATAAGTGAAATGTTTTTATATTTATTCAGCTCTTTTAACTGCTTTTTTGCCTTCAGGTTGTGATGAGGGAAAATGTCCTTAGGGTACCATATACACAGGAACACTTAAACGAACGGTGCTACAGAGCACACCATGCTGCTCCTGTCGGGCATCATTGTGTTTCCAGAAAAGGCTCTTTGCAGCTTTTCCAGGAAAACTAGTGGGGGGAGAGTTTACATAAATGTTCCCCATAAACGTTCACTAGCGATTAGTAACCTGAGAGCTGAATGCTTAGTCATCCATTGTAAATGTCCTGCCGTTCCTTAATAAACCTGCCTGTTTAAGGCAATTATTTCATCGACTTTTGCTGAATGGCTCGTTTTTAAAAACATCAGCCTACTCTATTTCATGTTGGGCCCTAACTGCCTGTTAACTGATGTTTGTACTAAATCCTCTTAACACTAACTTTCATCTTTTCAGGATGTTTTGAGCCCATTTTTGCCGGAAGAATGACAGACATTGACATCAATTTATAGAACATATGCCTTTCCTTCAGTCCTATCCTTCATTTGTCTCTGAGGAGTATTTGAAATGCTAGGCTGCAAACTTTGCCTTCAAAAGCTATGTCTGCCTCTATTTGAATGACGGGAATAGATTTGGTCAATTATTCATTAAGTAAGCATGAAGCTTTCTAATGTTCACTTGCTGCTTTCTTCAGCATGAGTTTTTTCTTTCTTTCTTTTTTTGGAAATACCCTGCAGCTCTGAGTTATCTGTTAGAGTAGAGGGATAATGAGACAGTTTCATTATTTTTATTTTTTTTAATTCATTACAGCTTTGTTGTTTTGATGTGTTGTATGTTGGCGTTTCATCTCTGTAGATAACTGCCGCAACCCTCAAGTAAACTATCCCTCACACTCTGGCCTGGTCCCGGTGATTGAATTAGCCTCTGCTACACTATCTCCCATGCTGGCAGTCACGGTGAATTTCACCATGTGAGACAACATGATAAAAGACAGGATTTGATTTGCATTCATGAAGCACTTAGGAAGTTCAAAGAAAAGTTGCCGAGCTCAACAGAGCGCACAGAGTCCTCCCTGACAGTGTCTGTTTCAGGTATCACAATTTCACCTTCAATGGAAACACTGATAATATTGCATGAGGTCATTTCCCATCAATGGGCTCCCTGTCATAGAATGCTCTGGGGTTATTTTGGTGGACACGTTTTGATATGCCTTTCCCTCCTGTGGTCAGAGATTGTAAAAACACCAGCGAGAGTGTGGGATGGCTCACGTGTCCTGGTGACACAGCCTAGAGCCTAGAGCTGGTGCCACATAAAGGAATACAACAAGCAACCAATATGAGCTTTGTGCTCCAGCTGCAGGCTGTGATTCAGAATTGTCTGGAGGCTCGCTGCCAGTTACCAGAGTTATTGCCTGAAAAGAACAGTTTACTGTAGAGTGGATTTGGCTAAAATTGCTATGATGGATTGTGGTTTTGAATTGATAAGAATCTTTCAGCGGGAGCTTTGATGAATTTTCAAACTGAATACAGATTCTGGAAAGAGCATGAGCATAGAAGCAATGCATGGCATTGAATTACATACCCAGCGTAACATCACACCCCCAAGGCATATAAATATTGATCTGCGTGCATTTCAAGGTAAAAGGCTGACATGACATGGGAGACAAGCTCAACAGAGCTTGCTCTCTAGCCCATTATTTTCTTATCTTTCCGACAACTCAAAGCTTCATACAGTGTTTACTCTTCTGACTCTCCACTTACAGAGAGGTGAGGGGAGTTGTGAGAATTAGCAGTAGACCCCTACAGATTAGGTTTAGAGCGATGTGGGTGCGTGGCACACCAGCAGAGTGGGGAGGGAAAGGAAGAGCAATCAGGGTGACAGTCTTAATTTGAACTCTGGTGTGCATAACGCCATAACGCTAGAGGCAAAGACGCTACTCAGCACAGCCCGTCGTAAAGCAGTCATGTTTACACAGTTTAACAGCCCAGATCCTCGGATTTGCATTCATATTGGTGCATTTTCAGTTTATTTTGTCTCTCTGCGCCATGAGTGCGAGCAGCTCAGAAATGTAATGCCTGATAAGAAGAGTAATCTAAAGTTCAGAGAAGACTTGTGAACGGACTGAACACATGGGAGTGCAGCATGGATAATTCCTCATAACTTGTGCGCCAGTGTTCTCGAGCAAGGCACCTCTAACTGCCGTGTTTGAAGACCGCTGTTTATTTAGCGTCTAGGGAAATGGTGGATCTGCTTTCTATCGACTTTCTCTGGACAGGAAGCACGAGTGATTATCCTTCAGTCGAGAGAGCGGATTTATGTGGCACACCGCTCGGACGGCTGCGCGTGCTCACGCTGTGCCGCCGTGCAGAGGTTTGAGGCAGAGACCCTCCTGACCATCACACAGGGTGGGGTGCACCGAGGAGCTCCGTCCCCGTGCGCCGCCACGCCCCCGCGCTTGGCGCTGTCCGGTGCTCTAGTGCTGAACGCTGGGTGCGAACACAACAAACTGCCTGCAGCGCTGTGGGCTGCCTGCACGCTGCCGTGTTACATGGAGCCGAAAGGCGGATCTCCCAGGATGAAACAGCTTAAAGTTCAGAGGGCTCTCCTGGAAGGACCGCACCGTGGATGGCTATGAAGGAAATGTTTCTCAAGTGTGTTTCCTTTCTTTTTTAAGGATTTCCTACCAACCCCTCTGAGACACTCGGGGGTACATAACTTGCCACCAACATGATTTGGGGTGTTTTGTTATGCTGCCTTCTGACGCCAGCTGCTGGATATGAAGCACAGGAGCGACTGCCTTTCTTCCACGGGCATGTTTTTGAGAACTCACCGCCGTGTTCTAAAGTAAACGGACTGATTATTCCGGTGAGGCGCATCACCGCGCAAAAATGGTGCCCGGTCTCCGGAACGCACTTCAAACTGTATGGAAACGGCAGTGAAGCTTTCCGAGCCTTCGCTCACCACAAGCGGGGAAGTGTATTGCTCAGAACTTCCAGGGTTTTAGACAGAGAGACTCGTTCAGAATACCTGCTGAGCTTAGGTCTGTGCTGCCAGACCTGCGCACCTGGGTCTATCGTCTTCGATGTTGCGTCGGTAAAAGTGGACGTTTTGGATACCAACGATCACAAACCGACTTTTCGCAGTGCAGACAACATTCACATAAGTTTACATGACACCACTGCCCTCCGTAGTGTAGTTTACAGGCTGGAGGCTGTCGACGCAGACAGCGGAAAAAACGCAGAGTTGACGTATATCTCTGTCCCCCAAAATGGCAGTTTCTATGTTGTCCCGAAAACAGGCGAAGTTTTACTGGTCGACTCAATCCTGGGGCTCCCTTCTAAAGTCAAATTCTGCGTTTATGCCAGAGACCACGGATGGCCCCCTCTGACCAGTAAGGCTGTGTTGGTTACTGTCGCTCCACAGCGGTGGGCGACGCGTCCTGCTGAATTAGCGGGGACAGCGAGGGCAGGGCGTTCGCCGAGGGCATTACTTGACCCTGGCTCCGTGGTTTCTCTTAACGTGTCCGAAGACGCCAGCATCGGCTCGGTCATAACGAGCTTGAGTCCCACCAGATTTCAATCAGCCAGCTACGAGTTGATTTACCCGGAGTCAGAGAGCTCTCCGGTCAGCGTGGGCCGCGACAGCGGAGATATCACAATAACCAGGAGGCTGGATAGGGAGGCAGAGCCGTTCGTGGAGCTCACTGTAAAGATTCAAGATAAAAGAGGTGCGTTGATTATTCTTCTGTTAATCGGCGCTAAACTTAGGCCATGTTTCTCTCCCACCCCCCTTTCTGTTGACTGTAATTATTTCCATTGTGGTGATGATGCCCTATTTAAACGGAATGCTTGCACATTATAAGCACATGGTAAAACTGTGCCGCCATCTGGACCCGCTCACCCCTCATCAGAGGAGCCCCCTGAATAGGCCTGACATCTGGAGTGCATTCATTCAGGGCGGTAGGTGTAGCTGCAGCCTATAGGCTTATTCCACAGGTGTACCACATGGCATCTATACATCCAGAATCCCCATTAGTGACACACTCAGTGGAGACATTGTTAGATGGCTCTTCCAGTTATTTTGATATGGATACGATATTTAAATAATGGTGAGCGATATGGGGCACACTTGTGGCAACGAGAAGAAGAGTATTTTTTTAGGTTAAAGATTTATTTTACTTAATTTTTTTTAAACTGACTGAATCACATCCTTGATTGACATAGTTTGTGACTGTGAAGATGTTTTCCGAGCTAATCCTTGCAGAGTGGCAAATCACAGCGACCCTCACTCTCTCATCTACTCACATTACCCCTCTAATCCTCCTCTCATTCACTCTCTAGTCCCAGGGATTTGAAGAAGCTCTGCTACAGTCAGGAAACCTTTCAAATATCGGAGGGAAGGTGAAAGTCGTGTGTGCATCAGATATTCGAGTTCTGTTTTGCTGCTCCAAAAGTTTACCGTCGAGCTTAAAAACAAGTAAAAAAAATAAAATAAAATAAGGGGATCAAATTGATTTTCTTTGTAATTGAGCTGCACAGTGAGCAGGAAACAGTTTGCACTGTTTTCATTTGAATTGCCTGCTGCTGCTTCATTGCACAGCATGTTCTGGATGGTAATTGCATGGCTGATTGGGACACATTCTTGTAAAGGGTGTCTGCAGTTCTTTTTCTCCCCCCCCCCCCCAGAACAAGCAAAAACAGTCAGAAATCTGATGCGTAACAGAATTCAGCCGCTCCAGTCTGACAGATATTCAGATCTTCCTCCATTTTACCTCTCTCACCTGCAAAACTCTCCTCTCCTGATCAAAGGCATGGCATGTCCTTTATCCTGTGACTACAGCTTGCCAGACAGAATCCTGACGGCAGTCTGGGAGGACAGGCCTTTCTTCTGCTCGTCTCACTCCCAATCCTTGCATACACATATCTCTGATAGAATGAGTCCATTTTTTATTTTTAGAGGTTTCACCTAATATCCCGTGTGGTTTTGCATTAGGATCTGCTTTGGTACTGCAGCAAATTAGTGCTGTGTCTCAAAGTTAAAGGAGAGTGCTCTTGGAGACATTAGAGAAAGAAGGAGTGAGATGTTTTCTAAATTGTGTTTCTCTCTTTGTATATGTTTGTGTGCAATTATGAGGCTGGATAGTCACATGAAGACTGACCTCAGGTACAAAAACAACATTTTTAATGAGGCCCCATGCGTTGTGTCATCTTGAGTTATTTTACTTATTGAACTCTCCGTGGCACTGAGCCATCCGTGGCGCTGATGGTCACCTGCTGAATGTCAAATAGAAAGCTGTCAGACAGCAGTCTAATAAACAGATCAAACAGCATTCCAGGAAGGAACATTTAACGCTCACCTTAAAAAGAAAGAAAGAAAATGTCCGTGATGTGGAAAAATAATCAACAGCATTCTCAGATGGCCCCGCCCCTCCCTGAGCCTGGTTCTGCCGGAGGTTTCTTCCTGTTAAAAGGGAGTTTTTCCTTCCCACTGTCGCCAAAGTGCTGCTCATAGGGGGGTCATATGATTGTTGGGTTTTTCTCTGTATCTATGAAGCGCCTTGTTGAGGCGACTGTTGTGATTTGGCGCTATATAAATAAATTTGAATTGAATTGAATTGAAAAACAAGGCCATGGAGATAAATCCTAGAGCTTGAAAATGCATTTTAACAAACTGTACAAAGATAAAGTTCTGCATTACTTTTGTAATGATGCAGGTTGCTCGTTGCAGCTGCAACAATGTGGGATTCCACTCTCTTGTTGTAAGTTTGTGCATGGCCTCAGTTCCCGTATATGGCTGTAACAGTACTCGTGAAAAAATCAAGCCTCTGTTCATTTTGAGCAACACTACTGATGTTTCCGTCTTGTATTTTTAACCACCACTTCTATTCCCATTGCTACCATAAGCCATCGCTCGCAGATTAAATGTGTGATTTATTTATTGTTTTTACAGCTTAATGCACGCTTCGGTGGATGATTCCAAGAACACACAGGTTAAAGTCCATGTGGGACAATAAGTACTCTCTGTAATTAGCTGGGGAATGCAGATTTTCTAAATGTGTAGTGAATGTGTCCATTAACTAGTTAATGTGGCCATGAAATGCTAATCACACTGGTGTAAGGCTTTCTTATGTTAATGGATTTGCTGTGGGTACTGCCTTATGATTAGAGTCATCAGAAGAGCTGTTATTAGTGCTGTTGAAAAAGGAGATAAAAAGTCTAGTTTGACACTCTGGTTGCATCAATGCCACAGCCTTTTTGTTGTAAAATGTGTAAAATGCTGCTGTTTTACTTTGGCGGTGCTGGGATTTTGTTTTAGTCTGGATGGGCAGACAGACTACTGGAAATAATGACACCTATTGCTTCCTTACTGGGTCTTATCAGTCAGAAAAAATAAACCAGAACATTAAAGCTAGGCTCAGATACCTTTTGTGATTTCATCCTTCTTGTGCAGGTATTCCTTTCTCAATGTCACGGCTTTCCTTTGCCAATGGAGGATTTTTCGGTACTGATCTAATACGTCACTGCATTTTCTTTGGAACAACAGCCTGTCTGTGTTCTTACACCAGCCTGACCACCTTATACTCTTGTATTACCTTCAGTAACAGTTCCACCTTCCCAGATGTCAAAGCAAAGAAATCTCCAGCATTTTTGTAATTGTTCTTCCTTCATAGCATTTTCAAAGAGCAAGCAAAAACTCAGTGTACTCTGTGTATGACCAGTACACACATCGCATGATAGTCTATGTGTTGTAAGGCATACTTGCAGTGATTCATTTGTTTGTTTGTTTTTTAACCAGGACTATAGCGCTCCTCTGGATGGAGATCCTTTTCATTTTATGAAATGATAATGAAAATGCATCTCGGATAAATTATTCTGGCACACTGCAGATTAGGGGAACAGTGTTTCTTGATTACTCTCAGCAGGGGTCCATCCTCACGTACATATTTACCCAGAAGAGCATCCGCTTACCAAAAACTCAGCCTTTGCTCCATGCATGAGTCTACGACATGAAATGTTTGAACACTAAGCATTCTGCTTGAGTTTTTGCAGTGATGGGAAAATGTTTTACTTGGATTAAAGTTGAATATTGTTTTAATTTGAGATTATCATGTAAAAATTTTTTACTTCAGGATATAATTCGGAGCTGCTGTTTGTCATTCAGGAATATGATGACAGGGTTTTTGTCAGTAGCCCACTAATAGCCCACTTGGGGAACTTGTAGGGAACTTGTAGTGCAGATTACAATTAATCAGAGATACTTGTGATCTCCACTCAGGGAAACCCAGGAAAGTGCTAAGGCTTAACTTATATACCTAGTTGTTTATCTGTTCATTTATATGCACGAGTTACTGTAAGGTAAATCATTCACTGCTCTTTCCTTCTCGCACCAGCAGCAAATCTACATAGCTTTGTTGTTCTGGCTTTGCCACACAGTGCGGCACATTGTGCCACGTTAACAAAGTACCAACATCTTTTCGGGTGGAAACCCATTGATCATAACTGGAATGCTGTTGAGTCTCATGAACTCGATTGAAATTACCCTACTGATATGTAGTGCTGTGATCCCATCTCATATAATTAGTCATCGCTGTGATTGGTATTTTCTGCAACAAAAGTTAATGTAATCATCCAACATACTGTCGTGTCTGACTGCTTCCATTTTTAACAAGTTGGGACTTGTTTATTACTCTTGCTGATTTCTGAAGAAATGTCCTCGTATTACGTACCACCATCGTAGCGCCGTGGTTCATTACACCACTTACTTTTTTAATTACACCCGCAAAGTTAGGAATTACTTTCTGTTTTGTAAAAGTAAACAATCAGAAAAGAATTTTTTGCATAATCTCTTCTCATTTAATTATACTTTGCTCCAAACTTTATTTAACTCTGCAAGCAAAGCATTTTGTGCATCTCATCATCAGCATTATGTATGGCGAGTGTATGCACATAGATCAAATTAGGATCAAATTTGAGCCTTACCGAAGGCACGCAGTCAGGATTTCAGGACAAGCTTTGACACTAGTCCTTCAGCTGTGTTGCATCACATTTAGCACACAGTAGCATCGCTGTGTTTATTTAAGAAGTTTGTTCTTTCTCGGGGGCCAATCAAAGCATCCTTGCTTTCTCCTTGACTAGATCCCCTGCTAATGTTGGAGAAATATTTACCTTCTAAACTATATTCAGTAGAGCAGAAATCCCCAGAGAAAACAATGATATTTTTCTGACATAGCTTCTATGTATCAAACCAGCAGTATAAGAAAAAAAGTAAAAGCAATGGAAGTAGGCCATGACTCATGACTCACAGAAAATGGTTATGTGGTGTTGTTTTGTGAAGAGGGAGTGAGGGACCTCTACAGCTTCACTTGTAAAGGATTTTTGCTGCCCCACAGAGGATGTCACTTTAGATTTGCGGTGGAGAATTTTTCCTTTTGGTTGTCCCATCCGAAGAATCCCTTTCTTTGCACCTGAGTGGGAATCTGTTAATGGTATTTGACGGGTTAGGAGGAGTATCGAGCAAGTGGTGCATTCCTTTGTGAGTTGGAATGGGGAATATTGAAGTGGTTTCTCCCGCTCCTTTGGGTATCTGTGGGAAGGGTGGCATTCAGTTTGTGGTAATCACCTCTTCTCAGCCCATTTTGTAAGAGAACTGTCTCCTGCACTCTTTCTTTTTCTCTCCTCCACCCTCGTCTTTCTTCCTGTCTCAGTCTCATAGTCAGCATCTTGCCTC